AAAATGTAATGTAAATTGCCTAAACAACATGAAAAAGTTAGGAAAATGGAATGCTCCAGCGTTTATAATATAGACTGCAAGGTTTGTTAAGAAAAATAGATCGGAGAGACGGGAAGGACAATCAACAAACGGATCAAGATATACCGGTGATTCTGCCGAAAAATGGATAGGGAAGGATTGAAGATAGCTGAAAAAATTGCCCTGACCTGCCATACAAGTGAGCGAATTGAAACGGAAAGACTGGCCCCAGGTATGGATAAGGCCAGAAAATGTGGGCATTCTTTTTAAAAGAAACCTGATGAACCTGAGATTGGAAACGGAAAGAGTTTGCGAGAATTTCCGTATATTCTGGATGGATTTGGAGATTCATCAAGGAAGCTTGGGCCAAGGGTATCTATTTAACGGCAGAAAGAGACATTGACAAAAAGAGAACAATAGCAGTGTGTCCTCAGTCTGTGTGTGTGCATGTGTATGTTTTTTGGCATGGAGTGGAGATAGGAAAGAGGGTAATTCGATCGTGAGTTTAAAGCTAGGGGAAAGAAGATTTCTAGACATGAGAAGCACCAGTCTTACATCCTCGAATATGACATAAACGGGAACCAGAATCGAAAGCTTATCGGCAGTCAGGCAGTGATTTTCGTGTGTATCATAGAACAACTATGAAGCGGGATTTGGGAGGGGGCTAACTGAACGTCAGAAGATATGATGCAGAAGTCCTGCAAAAGTATATGAAACCGGTGTTGAAGGTCATTATGCTTCATTAAATCCACTTGAAACGAGGCCCTCTTAGACGGCATTGGAAGAAATGAGAACACAGAATGGTGTGACTAGGCAAATGGTCGATGTAAAGTGTGTTTGAGAGAAAGAGATGCAGCACTAGAATGAGGGAAAAACAAATATGCATGACGAGTGGTGCCACTAGGTTGAACAGAAAATTGTATACTTTTAACTGATAAGTTGTAAATCTGTGATTAGACGATGCCGAATGCGATGTCGGCAAAACGTGTGAAAATCTACAAAGTCAACCGTCGTATGCTGGAAATCTCCATGAATTTTACGGCAGAGGACGCAGAACTTGATACGATCCACAATGTCTTCCTGTAGCTCCGATCAAGTTGGTAAAACCGGGTCAAGCCAGAAGTAAACAAAACCAAATTTCGATAGTAAGAGAAATCTACCTGTAGAAAAACAAGAAACTCCTCGTGACGGATCGCTTTGCGGTGTAGGTCTATGCGAAGCGCCAGCATTAGAGTAGTTAGTGTGCGATCCATTTTGTACATCCCACGGACCGAGAATGCCCAAATTGAGCGTGTCATGTACTGAATAATGCTGCTGATTCGTCTCGAGGTTACCGGACAGGCCTCTGAGCGAGCCATGGACAGATCAAAGAGATGAAGGAATTGGACAAGACCAGTGTGGTACATGGGATTGACTCCGGACAGTTCACTGATCAGAAAATACAGCAAGGAACCACGTGCTGCAATCGGCCGATACTCTTCGCGGGCCGCTGTGATCTCGGCCTCAGTGTCCTGAGCCAATGCAATCTGTTGGGCAACCTCAACAGCTGTTTGTTTTGTGATCTGCAACACGTCAACCAGACCTTGATCGTCAACCAGCGATCCTTGAGTGTTGGCCAATCGCTTTAACAGACTGTCCTCCAGCTCTAGAATACGCTGTTTATTCGCAGTCATGCTGGACATCAGATTTATTCGTTGCAGCTCCAATTCCTAAACATGGGCAATTCAAGTTGGGCAAAGGGGAGGGGTGTAGGTCAGATATACGTTTTGAGCATACAATTAGACAAGTGAACAGCTAAACTGAAATTGTTAAACGGATTTTCATGACATTCGAATTTAGAGAAAATTCTTGAAAATGCAACAAGTTGGGCAACTAAGGCGAAGACCACAATTAATGCCTCAATACGAATTCTTACTAATATGCTTGCGCAAGTGCCACTGCTAATAATAGAACTAATTATAAAACAGAGTTTCCAAAAACTCCTATCACTGCTTCTCTTACTCATACCCATACTCCTACTCCTACTCCTAACACTCTTACTCTAACCACAACTCACATTATTATTACAACTTATCGTACTACTAATGCTACTACTACTATTCTTAGAACTATTTCTTCTATTCCTTCTTATATTACCCCTCCAACTCCCACTCCTACTCTTACTTCTACCCCTAATCTACCCCTCCTCATACTCCTACCCTTAATTTTACTCTTGCTCTTACTTCTACACCTACCCATATTCAAAGTCCTACTTCTACTCATACTCATACTTGTACTCCTACTAATCCTACTTCGCCTACTCCTCTTTATTTTGGCATGATTATAATTGTATACTGCTTGCCTCTCGTTCCGTTTGGATAACGCGTGACAAAAGCTGATCTTCAAGACCTTTGCTGGTGACAGTGAAGTCGATAATCGAGGTTTGAGCTGATATTTCTGGTGTGTAGATGGGATTCGGAAGCTTTGTTGTAATATAGAGTCGGAAGCCCTTCATTAGATCCACCTCTTTGTCACCAACCTTCACCTTCAGGCCAGTGCCCGACTTGAGGAAGTTTTTGTCCAGTACATCGCCTATCGAAGGGTCCAATTCTTCGCCACAGTCTTCGATCAACAAAGGTTTCCCGAGAGAAAGTGCATCCTCCATTCGATTACGGAAATTCTTCTTGTTAAAAGTGGTTGTCTGAAGAGAATTGGGAATAAAGACTTCAATTAACCGGGGCTAATAAATATTCTGATAATAGCAGATAAACAGAAATGTTCAAATTCAATAATATAGTCGATTGTAATGGCAACTACAAGTTGGATTTATCGAAACTTTTACTAAAAACGTGATATATGAGAGGCCTGGCTAGCCTTGAAATTTGTATAGGCCTCCGTGTCATTGTGATGTAGTGGCAACATGTCAAAATCGTGCGCCGCACTACCCCAACCCGGGTTCGAGTCCCTCTGGGAGTGTGGCCTCTAGTATGTTCGCAGTCTCCATTCGATTTATAGAAGTGGGTTGACCTCGTTGTTGCAACTTGGTCTTGTTGTCAGGGCGACTTAGTAGAACGCACCTAATTCAAAGTTGTCTCCCATAGTAGATGTCATAATCCCCAGCATCAGACAGTGGACTTGGTACATTCTCAAACAAATAAATAGTCATAGTGAAGGTCAATACAACAGGACAGAAGAAGAGATACAACAATTGATCAGAGGATCGACTTCACTTGTCCCCTTGACGATTTGTATTGTGGTAGTGAGAATGACAGCACTCAATTGATGATGCCGACTACGATGCCGGCGAAACGTTTAAGAATGTACCAAGTCCACTGTTTGATGCTGGGAGTTATGACAATGACTATGGCAGACGACTTCGGACTAGGTGCGTTCTCTTAAGTCGCCTTGACAACAAGACCAAGTTGCGACAACGAGGTCAACTCACTTCTGGAATCTTGATGTTTACTTTTATTATTTTGGAAAATTCAACCATCAGTGCGACCAAGGGTGAATTCAACCTTAATTCAAAAAATTGTATGGATTATAGTCTGAAAGGAGGAAAAGGTAATGAAAAATATATTTATTTGGCTCATTTTTGTAAATTCAGTTATGCGTAATAGCCCCTTTTCAGCTGCTTGGAAGGTTCCGACAGTGAGCAAGAGACAATGCTCTCGTTCGCAGACGGTATGCCTAATTATGTTCTCTTCACACAAGAATTCAGAATTTAAGGGAGTTTTATAAACCCCTAAAATTCAATGAGTTAAATAGGATTCAACCAAGATCCTTCATCCACATAATCCAAACTATATTTCCCTCTCAAAATAACTCAAGACATGTACAAGTGCATCAAGTTGTAGAGAACAAATTACCATGAGATCGTAGGCAGCCTCGTGATTCTTTATCCAACTTTTGCCCTGACTCTGCGGGTCTATCAGCAAAGGATACCGCGAGGCTGTGGTGACAATGATAGCGTTCTGGATGGATAGATCGTCGTTTGGCAAGCCTTCCAAATTCCATTCAGCGGCCTGTGTTAAATAAATGGGAAAAAAGCGGATCAGTAGCATCATGGGATCAAATAGGTTCACTTTGCCAGCATGCACTGGTTTGAGCCTGAAAAAGCTTCGACACTCGGAACTTAGTGAAGCTGATTGAAATTGGAGGTACATCGTTTCTGAAGTTTATAGTTGAAATCACTTGATTGGGTTCCAAAGGCCCAGAATATATATGCCCGAGATGTGCCCGAGCTGAATGTCATTTTATATTGCGTTTGGTATGCAACCTTTGCCGAGGAATAGCAGCCAGGCCATGTGTAAAACTTATCCGAAATGTAAATAGCCGAATGTGCTGATTAAAATATACCGGTACATAACAAAGCAAATATACAAAGTTAATAATTATCGCTTTGGAGTCCTTATTGCCGAAGTAAAGGCTTACATCATACATTTTTCGTCTATAAGTAGGTTTTTGAGACTACCACTAGATCATATATATGAACTTCCTCAGACCTTACGTTTCCATTGAATTTCACACATTCTTGCTCTCCTAAAAGTTATTATCTTCTAGGCTGGAGTAATCTGCAGGTTAGACTTCGTTGAGGCTTAATCAACACCCCAAGCCGGACGTGAAACATTACAGTGCAGCGTATAATCCAGATATGGTAAAGACTACATTACATTGTCGCGACTGTCTTTGGGTCAAAGGGTAGATGTGAATTTCAGGGAAGGCTAGACATTCTCCCATATCAGATTCTGAAATCTGAATATAAATGAAGCAAATTTGTATTTGCTATAGCAAGGATGTGTGAAAATCAATTTACACATATCGTATAATAATATCATGTGTATGGGAAAATGCAACTAGTTACCTTATACTGAGATGTATTCACCCTATTTCGTCTAAGGTGATGAAGGACTGGTAGTAGAATTTCCCCACAATGATATGAGTTGAGCTGACGTTTCCATTGAATTTCACATAGCCTTGCTTTCCCAAAAGTTGTTCCTTCAACCTTGCTTTTTTCGACCAAAAGTTGTTGACGAAGGACTGGTAGAAGAATTTTCCCACAATGCTATGAGTTGAGCTGACGGCCACGATGATATGAGTTAAGCTGACGTTTCCATTGAATTTCACATAGCCTTGCTTTCCCAAAAGTTGTTCTCATCCCTAGGCACCAGTGGTCTGCAGTTTCGACCTCGCATTGGTCTTATCAACACCCTCAGCGGGATTCGAACCGCGACGGCCGAGGTGGACTGCAGTTAACACCCTCAGCGGGATTCGAACCGCGACAGTGGACTGCAGTTTCGACCTCGAATTGGTCTTATCAACACCCTCAGAAAGATTCGAACAGCGACAGTGGACTGAAGTGGACTGCAGTTTCGACCTAGCATCGGTCTTATCAACACCCCCAGCGGGACTTGACCATTCAATGGGGCAGTGGACTGCAGTTTCGACCTCGCATCGGTATCATCAAACCCCTCAGCGGGAGTCGAACCGCGACAGTGCAGAATGGAAGCTTGACACACTAACCACTAGGCTACACTGCCAAGAGTACCCTTGAGTCACTGGGCATAAGTGAATTTCAAGGAAGTTCAGGCCTCTTTGCTATATTATATTCTTTGATGGGAGTGCCGATGAAGAAAACGTATATTTACTATAGCAATCGACTACTTTACTTATTTTCGTATGAGAGTAGAGTTTAGAGACTACCAGTAAATCAGTCGAGGTTCGACTCCCACTGAGGGTGTTGATAAGTCCGATGCGAGGTCGAAACTGCAGTCCACTGGTGCCTGGATGAGAACAACTTT